CTGGCATGTCACCGACTGAAATACTGTGGATCCAAGCTAAGCTGCGAGCTGTTGCGATCAGATGATTTTCCGTCGTACTATTTGGCCACCTGGTGTATAGCTGGATGTGCATTACGTGCAGGAATGCGTCCAAAGTGCATAAATAGTTCGTTTTTATTCATCTTCCTTTAAACGGGCTGAATCCCATTTGTAAGATGGCTTCTGCTCTTCCGTTCATGCCCCGGTCAAGTTTGATGTACATTGGAGAAAAAGCCATTGGCATACAAGACTATATGTCTATATATGATCATATATAGGGGCAATACCTCCCAACCGGGCGGCGTTACCCCACGCGATAACCTGACAACATCGAGCGTCACTACAGGTGTAAGCACTATAATGGAAATGCCGCGTTTATAGCCTCGCTTGTCTGGATAAATGGCTGTGAGTATGTAAGCATCATTTTATATTTGGACCTCTTTAATGGCAAAAGAACAAAACATAGTGAATAAAGAAAGTGACAAGGAAGTCATTTGGCAGCAAAATTGTGCAAAATCACGAAAATGACACGCAAAATTACCAAAATCTCCTTGTACAGCCGATTGCCGCCATGTCACAAATTAATGACCAAGTTCAGCTGAGCGTGCCGCCGAGTGCGGACGCGAGCGCTGCTCGTCCCAGCCCGTCTACGGCAGCGAGCCTTTCCCGTGTGATAGTGGGAGTGCGTGTGGCTGTAGGCATGGCCATGTGCTAGTGTATTCAGTGAGCACTCTGACTCGGTGGATCGCCTATCATCACAACGGACGTGAGTGACGACACACGATCAACGTGAGAGTGACTGATCGTACTGCCATGCATCGTGACTTGGCTCGTCACCTAACTCTTCTGGCCATTGTGCGGCTGCTGGTGCTGATCTGCAGCCCGCAGCCCGCCCTATGTACATACCCAGCGACCAACCAATCTCGGCGTCGGCGTCGGCAGTATGCGCACGGTCTGTAACTTGGTACGTGACGTCACTGTGCGCCGGCCGGGTCGTCCACGCGCCGAGCCTGGAGTTCCCGGCCGCAAATTTACAAACTGTATACACGTCTTCGGAGACCGAGCCGTGACGTCATGCCAATGGGCGGAGTGAAAGGCTGTAGCGGCGCTTGGCAGGTGACGTCAAGTGCAGGGGCGGAGCGGAAGACTCGCGGATCGTGGAGCTTACCTACTCGATGAGAAATCGTAATGTTGTGTTGAATATTTACAACTAGCTAAAACCCCTGATCTTGTTTGGGAAATACCATCCGAAATACCAAGTTTTACTTACGATAGCATAATTGGTAAACACAGTTGCCTGCAAAGTTTGAATGTCAATCAGACCGATCGTCCACCAATCGCCTGTGGCCAAGTGGCTATGATCCTGGCATATCACCTAGAGGAGCCGAGTTCGATTCTCGGGGCAGCGAGTTTTTCCCATTTCCAACGTCTAATTGAACGGTTTTACGTAAGCTATAAGTAATATAAAGCAAACCCCTCTTATTGACGAACGCGGTTGGCGGCTCACACGCATGTTGCAGGTCAGAGTGGGTGGTATGAAACGAGGCGTCTCGACCGTCTCCGTGTTGTTTGCTAGGTGTGCGCGCTGTCAGTGCACGGGTTTTGTGCATTTCGCCGAAAATCATTCTGGATTCTAATGAAATCGGACGTCTAAATAGGCCGACTCGGCGGCGCTCTGAACGGCAGACGGCTTAAAAGATCAACTTGAAACTTATACGCCCGTCTAGCGGCATCGATTTTGGCGAGGCACTTTTCGGATCTCTAACTATGCTCCAAAATGCCGAAGATCCGAAAAGTGCCTCGCCAAAATCGATGCCGCTAGACGGGCGTATAAGTTTCAAGTTGATCTTTTAAGCCGTCTGCCGTTCAGAGCGCCGCCGAGTCGGCCTATTTAGACGTCCGATTTCATTAGAATCCAGAATGATTTTCGGCGAAATGCACAAAACCCGTGCACTGACAGCGCGCACACCTAGCAAACAACACGGAGACGGTCGAGACGCGTCGTTTCATACCACCCACTCTGACCTGCAACATGCGTGTGAGCCGCCAACCGCGTTCGTCAATAAGAGGGGTTTGCTTTATATTACTTATAGGCTTACGTAAAACCGTTCAATTAGACGTCGGAGCTCATGAGAAAAACTCGCCGCCCCAAGAATCGAACTCGGCTCCTCTAAGTGATATGCGAGGATCATAGCCACTTGGCCACAGGCACTTGATGGACGATCGGTTTGATTGACATTCAAACTTTGCAGGCAACTGTGTTAACCAATTATGCTATCGTAAGTATCCTCATCCATGATACTCGTCGCATCACATCAATCAAACAATCAAAATCAATCACGCTGCAACCATCTATACCAATACGGCCTTGGCAACGATTGTTTACAAACAAAATCGCGCGCTCGCCGCACTGCGCCGCCCGCCGCACTGCGCCGCCCGCCGCGCTGTGAAAACAGCTGGCTAACCAACTTCGCTCCGCCCCTTCTCTGACGTCATGGCCGACGTCACGCCAGCGGCTGGTGCAATATGATTGGCGCTCCGAAGGCGTGTATACAGTTTGTAAATGCGCTTCCCGGCCGCCTCCCGCCGCGCCGGCCCTGACCCATGACGTCACGTCGCCCCAGGCGCCGTCCGGCCGGCGTCCTCGCCCGCTGGCCGAGAAGCGCAGCGGCGGTCACAGGCTAGAGGAGGCAGACCCGTGAGGCGCGGTGCGCGTGGGAAGAGGGGCCGCAGGGAGCGGGCGTGGTCGGGCAGCATACGCATTGGCGCGCTCAATATTCAGATTTTGAAGCCAAAACTCCTTGATTTAACAGCCATGCTACAACACCAAAATTTCGACGTTATGCTACTCTCGGAGCCCCGGCTGCGGCCGTCTACCGTGGTCCCACGTGGTCCCCGGCTTCGTCATCAGTCGAGCAGACCGACCCGACGGGGGCTACGGCGGCGTCGCCATCCTCGTCAAGACCGGACTCTCTTCATCGAGTCTGAACGTACCCGGTACTGGAAACCCCGCCAGCAAACTCGAGTCAAAGTGGGCCATGCTTGGGCTCGAGCGAGGCCGGCAGCTCCTCATCGGATCGTTATATCGACCACCACGGCATACCGCTGGCGCTCTACAAGACAACTTCAGCGACCTTGAGGCTCAAGTTCAGCACCTCTTCGTCAATTATGCTGGGACACCCCTGGTCATCTGTAGGGATTTAAACTGTGACTGGCTGAAGGACAATAGCGACCCCACCCATCGCCGGCTCTCCGAGTTTTTAGACGACCACTCTCTAAGCCAGCGGGTCAGAACGAGTACTTTTTCTTCTGGTTCTGTGCTAGATCTCTGCATTGTTAAAGGGACTATCCCACCTTCAAAAAAGTACCGTTTAGGATTCGGAAATGTTACTCATGATATTTTGACGAATTCTGCAAGTTTTTACGCGTTTTCATCGCAAACTTTTTGAGATATTGCGACTTTTATATTTCATCGTGACGTCATTTATATCGAATCTGTGACGTAATGAAGGATTTACTTCATGTCAATGTGAGGGGAAATTTGGCAGCAAATATATTTGCTCTCAAATATGACGCGGCTCATACAATAACCAAAGTGTCTCTGATTGGCTTATTCGTAAATCAAGTGATACTTCACTTGAATGTGTGACAGGCGTTCAAAAGGCAAATGAGTAATTGACGTCATCAAATGGCCGTTAATAGTTAAGAGATAGGGCCTTAGCTAAGGCCCACTTTTCAAATGAAGGGAACGAATTTCTTTAACACCACGAAACTGAGGATATTGCGACCAGGATATATTGTGGTTTCTGAACCTGGCCGCCAACTTGGCTATCTCAACTCAGAACTAATGCAAAGGTGGGACAGTCCCTTTAAGCCTAGAAGTATCGTTCGAAATGTTTGCGTCCTGAGCAGTCATTTTAGCCCGCATGATGTATGAAGTGTATAAACGCTTGGATATTCCTCGACCCAGAGTGAAACCCATTACCGTTCATACTCACTTAAAAAAAAACATGGAGAGCCTCGCCTTCAAGTGTCTGCCGAGCCGACAGGCCAAAAGGCGGCTTTTTAAATGAGAGGTGTGTTTTTGGCACCAGGTAGCTGCAATTGGACGGCTCTAACGTATGAGCATTGTCGATGCGATCTCGGAATCAATTCACGAACATTTAGTCGGGTCTGAAACCATGTATACTATAGTGCACCTGGGGTCTCTAGAGATAATCCAAGCAGAGGAAATCCATGCAGAGAATAATACAATGGCCGCTGATGACCGCAGAGAATAATACAATGGCCGCTGATGACCGCAGAGAATAATACAATGGCCGCTGATGACCGCAGAGAATAATACAATGGCCGCTGATGACCGCTGTAGTCCGGGCGCCCAAAAACCCCAATTCATCATCACCAGAGAATAATATAATACAATACTTGCACCAAAAGCATATGCCGCAAATCATGGAAAGGCAACCATATACTTTTGCTCCGCACAATTTTCTCAGGGAACCAGGTGCCCCCTCCACTCCCCTTACCCGGCGCCCCACGGACTTCGTCAAGGCCGGGGAAAAGACACATCACGAAAAACATATGTTTGCCAGGAGGCTGCTGGGAGCCGAGGACTGTTTGTGCGTTGCCTACAGGTGGTGGAAAGAGCAGCCGGTCGGCAGAGATAATGTTGTCTCCAGTGACTGACTGACTGACACAATCAGCGAGTATCTGGCGCGGCTGGCAGCGGCCGCGGCGCGCGGCTCCCGGCCATCGATCGCGCCGACCGTAACGATCTACAGAGACGGCTGGGCAGACGGCGTGCCGGTGGTGGCGCCGACTGTAACGATCTGCCGAGACGGCTGGGCAGACGGCGTGCCGGTGGTGGCGCCGACTGTAACGATCTGCCGAGACGGCTGGGCAGAGGGCGTGCCGGTGACCGGGACTGGGCCACCTGTGGCGCGCCCGAGGGGCGGGCCGGCCCACTTGGCGTCTGACCGCCGCCGCGGCGTCAGACCACGCGCCGTCCACCGAGCGCACCCGTCTGTCGGAGCGGACCCCAGCAGCTTCTGCCCATCGCTCCAGGTGAGGTCCCAGCAGCTGCTGCCCATCGCTCCAGGTGCGGTCCCAGCAGCTGCTGCCCATCACTCCAGGTGCGGTCCCAGCAGCTGCTGCCCATCGCTCCAGGTGCGGTCCCAGCAGCTGCTGCCCATCGCTCCAGGTGCGGTCCCAGCAGCTGCTGCCCATCGCTCCAGGTGCGGTCCCAGCAGCTACTGCCCATCGCTCCAGGTGCGGTCCCAGCAGCTGCTGCCCATCGCTCCAGGTGCGGTCCCAGCAGCTGCTGCCCATCGCTCCAGGTGCGGTCCCAGCAGCTGCTGCCCATCGCTCCAGGTGCGGTCCCAGCAGCTACTGCCCATCGCTCCAGGTGCGGTCCCAGCAGCTGCTGCCCATCGCTCCAGGTGCGGTCCCAGCAGCTACTGCCCATCGCTCCAGGTGCGGTCCCAGCAGCTGCTGCCCATCGCTCCAGGTGCGGTCCCAGCAGCTACTGCCCGTCAGTTTTGGAAAATTTTCGCCTTAACAATCCCTGAAATAAAATAGATTATCATGCCTTTCCTTAGACCTCAAATGTCTTCTAGGCAACCGTTCAAGCTGTTCATTATTACACTTAAGTCGTGGGTTTCATTTCCATTGATATCTCACCAGTAAAACACCTTATGGGGCGACCAACGGAGCGAGCGAGAGGGTGGGCCTTGCACGTGCGAAGTTGCGAGGGGGTACCTCCAACTAGCTTGTGCACGGCACCCTACTAACCGGTCCCTAGCCCTGGCGGGCCCGGGGGACAATATTTACTCCCCCCCCCCCTGACGAATATTTGCGATAGCTCCCGAGCGCTTTGCGGTAGAGGCGCCAAACTTTCAGTACCTTTTCCCCCATCAATTTTACATCTCCTGAATTAAAAAATTGGACCCAGCCCTATTGATGACGTCACAGGGCTAATTTTCCTAGACCCTTGCACGGCAAATTTCTACGTCACAGCCGTGAACTTCAAACAGCTGACAAAAATAGAGTTTTAGAGCTGAAGACAAATTTCGAGCACGGTTGTGTAGAATATGACTTAGGTGAAAATACAAAAAAAATAGTGATCTGAGGGCAGAGGTCAGGTCAACGACCCCGAGGTGGAATTTTAGTTTTTCGCAAATAGCTTCAACAAAAATGGCTGTAGAGCTAAGGCAGCGGTACGGGGACCCGCAGTTGCCACTGTACAGCGACCCTGAGTAAATTGTCCCAGCAACCCCACAGGGAGCAAGGATAAGCTGTCAGAGGGCACGCAGAGAAAACCTCAGCTGCTCTTGTACAGGGACCGGCGGTCGATATCAATGTTATCGGTTGTTACTGGACAGGACAGACGGCTAGAGTTGGGGTTCGTGTACAGTAGCAATTGCGGGTCCCCGTACCAACGCATTCGCCTTGTTAAGACGCGTCGAATGACATATATTTTGTTTAGAAATTATCAAGTCTTATGTTGACCTCATGTGACCTCGAATGACCTTTGGTTGACCTTGACACACGGAAGGTGTTATATGGTGAATTTGTAGCCGCTGATCACGAATCTGGCATCCATTTTGCTCTAAGCATCCATTTAGAGCGTCAGGATAGCAAAAATGGCTGAATTATTATGGCTGACTTGAGTAAGTGAAATAGCCTCTAGCAAGGACACTCTTGCCCGACCTTGAACTTGGGGCAGCCATTTATCGTAACATGCACCACAAATAGGTTGTCAAATAGCGTCAAAACCATTGTCACATCTCTAGTCATCTCCCGAGTAAATTACTGCCTCTCAGTTTACGGAAATGGTACAAAAAAAGAACCTGAATCGACTCCAAAAGATCTTGAACTTCGCTACTCGAGTTATTTTTGGCCGCCGCAAATTCGACACGTCACTGACCTGCGCGAGAAACTTAACTGGATGCCGCCCGAATTTATGTACAAACTTCAAACCATGGCCACTGCACGTAAGGCGATACACTACGGCGAACCGGTAGCACTTGCCTCTATGTTTGCCAAAAACCGGGACTCCTTAACCAGGAATAGAAATACACGTCAGGATAACCTTCTCCAGCTCCAGCGTCCCAGACTAGAAACCGGTAAGCGGCGTTTCAGTTACCGTGCCGCCGCGCTCCTAAACGACCTACCTCCCGAACTCTCACAGCTGCCTCCCTCTAAATTCGCACGCGCTGTCAAGTCTCTGTGGAAAAACGATAGACCTTCGTGATGACCTGAATTAGGCACTCGTCTTGTAATATATAAATACACGGTACGTTAGAAATCGTAGCACATGTGTGTGCGTGTGTGTGTGTGTTGTTGTTGTTCGACTAGTCTCTGTTCCTGCATGCTTATACCCGACTCAGACTCTGGGCAGTAATCGCCACGCCATGTGTGGATCGCCCATGATCGTAAATACATACATACATAGGTGCCTGATATCCTACAGAATATTTCTAAACATTTTGGAAATTAGTGTACAAGATATACGAAAAAGTGCGAAGTTTCAGGTCAATTTTGAGCATGACCTTGACCTTGATCTGGAGGTTTGTGCACATCTCCATATTCCTTAGATTCTGTTCTGTAAGTTCCTACCTGTTTTAACCTGTTTCATGCATTCTGCCGTACTCTGGAACACTTAGTTTGAGGTCACTACACTCCTGGCCATCTGTTAATGGATGGTGGACTATTTAGAAAAAGAAAAGAAAAAAAAGATCGCAAAATTCACTTGATTTTAGGTCACCAATATAAAAATTATGCACCACATAGTTTTTATAAACACTTTGTACATAATGCTGCATTTATGAATTGCTGTAAGTTTTAAAACGATCCGTCACTTACTTATTTTGAGGTGATGTCACTTGATCTGACCTGGTGACCTGCGCTTAAAGGGACTATCCCACCTTTAACATGGGGTTTGAGTTGAGATAGCCAAGTTTGCGGCGAGGTTCAGAAACCACTATCTATCTAGGTTGCAACCCCCGCGGCCTCTTGGTGTTGAAGAAATTCGTTCCCTTCATTTGAAAATGGGCCTTGCGCAAGGCCCTATCTTCAACATGGAGCGACCGTTAGTGTGACGTCACCTCATTTATCCATTCTGATTTAAATGGGTTTGTTCGTTGAAAAATCGCTTAAAACTTGGTCTGAACTTTGTTGTGGTGCCTACAGAGTAAAAAGAATCAGCTTTATGACAGTAATGTGGCCTGGGGAAGGAGGTAATTTTGGGCTGTGACGTCACATATTTGAAAGTTTGTGTTTGGAATATGGGAAGCCTAAGATGTTTAATGAAAAATAAATGCCAGAACCGTGTTCCTGGTCATCCAATCTATAAAGTCGGGCACAACTTAACGGTTTTAACAACATTTTAGAAGGTGGGATAGTTCCTTTAAAGGGACCCTCCCACCTTAAAAAAGTTAATGAATTGGCATAAAAGTGGTGTACCGTGAATCAGAAAGAGCGAAAATGAACATCTACCAAATTTCATCGAAAAATATTCGCCCGTTTTTGAAATTTAAGACTTTTATTTTATAACGCGCGGTCAATGGGCTTGATGACGTCATCAGAGTCCGTTAGTGTTAAGAGATAGGGACTACGCTGGTCCCACCCTGCAAGTAAAGGGAAGAAATTTCTTGAACACTATAAAGCTGCGGGGGTTGCGACCAGGATAAATGGTGGTTTCTGAGCCTGGCCGCAAACTTGGCTATCTCAACTCAAAACTAATGTTAAGGTGGGAGGGTCCCTTTAACCCGCGACCGCCTGGGGGGTCGGATCCGACCCCCCCCTCCGTTTTTCTTGAATAACTCATGAACCGCTTGCGCTATCAACTTGAAACTTCGCATACCTTCTCCTTCATCAATTTGACGTCTCCTGTGCAATTTTTAAGAAAAAAATTTCAAAAATTTCTGAAATATATCGATTTTAGTGATGTAACTACATGGCGTTTTCAGTCAAAAAATGGTAAATGTTTAAAAAATCGCCAAAAATCGAGGTTTTAAGCAAATTGCAAATTAAGAACATCAAAACACGCAGCTCAACAAGTTCTTTAAAATGGCTATCTCGGATTTTCCATAAAATGCGTTTTTCACCCCTAAAAATTCAAAAAAAACTATATTTTTTGGAAAACAGCTAATAAAATCCAAGATTTTGAGAATTTCAAAAAACCGGAATATATGTTATAGAGCTCTATTAGAACATTAGATGTCCCAAATTTCAACTTTCTATCTTGATTTTTGACCCCCAAATTGTAAAAAATAGCTCCAACATGCATAGCGCATGGTGACGTCATAAGCATTTTCGCGAATTAGAGGCACTTCTGAACATCGCATGTGAAAACAAATGGCACCACTAGATTCCTGGGACAAAGCTCGTCTAGAAAAGTGCATTTTTATGTCAAAAATAAAAAGTTGAAAAATTGACTTTTTTTCTTAGCCCTCGTTTAGTTATGTATGGTATAAACGATTTTTTATGCTTTCAATGCACACTTATCACCAGCACAGTGACTTGGGGTCACATATAACCATTACCATCGGATTTGGCGTGAAAAATAAGCCATAAAACATGTGTCGCACGCCCATGTAGCAGAAAGTGAAAACCGTGACCTTTCGTGACCTGACCTGACCTTGACCCGTACTTAGTATGACCCCTATACGCACATGGTACCTTCACTAGGTCTTTGAGGTCATTTGTGGTGAGTTTCGAGCAGCAGCTATCGATTCCGCTGTCCGTAAGCCTAATCATGCAAAACCCCTGAATTTGACCTTTGACCTCACCTTGACCCGAAAGTTGACCTCAATCTTAAAATCTTAAGAGTGCTTTGGGAAGGTCTCGTAGAGACCTTTCGAACGCCGCCTCGCGGGGCTCGATACGACCATTGGTTCTCGAGATAACAGGGGGGGGGTCGGATCCGACCCCCCCCCCCCCAGGCTGATGTGGGTACGGAAATAGCCCAGGCGGTGCCGGGTTAAGTGGTCTGAAATTTTGACAGCATGTGTAAAAAATGTATGATAAAATGTGACAAAAACGGCCGCGCTTAGCGCCAGCGTTTCGATACTTGCGGAAACTGCGGGAGGAAATATACCATACCACTCCTGACATGGGGTTTTAAACTGACATAACCGTTTTGTAGCTTGAGCTGAGACTAGCCTAAATCACTTGGTTTTACGTCCCAACGATCACCCTAGGCAAAGATATTCTACTCCTCGTTTCGAAATAATTCCCTTGCCCAGGAATTTAGTGCCTTAGGAAAGAATGCCAAGAATGCAGCCACCTGTGGCAGAGGCTAATTGTCAGCCAATCAGCATGCAGCTGGTTTGAACTATGCAATATGGTTGGTCAACGCGTAGTAAGCTTTCGCTGCAAAGAGTTTAGCATCTATCATAGATGTAAAATTGTTCTTCCTATATGATTTTTTTTAATCCTTTTGTAATCATAAGCTTTTTTTCCGATCATTTGAAGCATACAAATTCATAAAACTGTAGAAAAAAAGCTTATTTGAGGAAAGTGGTATATTAGTCTGAATTGCTGTTAGCACTGTTTTGAGAGACATGCTTAAACATATAATCAAGTAAAGTAACCGTACTCTCATAGTTAATATCCAAAATCGTAAGAAAAAGGCCTGATAATTCCGAGGAGCTTTCGGCTTACGCCTTCTTCAACTCGCTCTACTCTATTTTCCTTTTTGGCGCAAACACATTGAAATTCAAATCGATAGCAGCTGCAGTTAGGCACAGGCACTTCTCCAAAGGGTTCCATAACATTACATAGGAGTATTATAAAACATAATTATATAATACATTACCAAATATAATAGATAAAATTACAGAATATTTCCTTACATAGGCTGCAGAGTACAAATACATTCACAATGAAACTAATACTGCCTGATTAAACATTTTCCCAGAACAAGGCAAGCCTGCGTTAAACAAATACATAATTCAGTGACAGTTCTACCTAATTCAATACGAATTTTACCATAACCTGAAGATTTACAAAACAAAAACACAAAAACACGTACATACAATACCACTCGAAAAAAAAACACATACACACGATGTCACAACTAGCCAGTCGAATCGCCACTCAGACTCAAGTACGAATCAGGGGCCAGGAGGAGGTTTGAGTGTTCAGAGTTGGTTTTAGATCTCAAATGTAGATGGATTCCCAGATCTTTCGGTCTGGGCCGTCTCTTGACACATGCAGAATTTGAATGGAGACGTTGCTGCTGTTCAGTTGAACATCAGGATGTTTTGTTTGATGGAGGCCAAAAGGGGTGTCTTGTTTTACGTTTTTGGCGTCACGAATGTGCTCGTTGTACCTGAGTCTGACTGAGCGGCGAGTCTCACCTACATAAAATGACTCGTCGTTTCCGCACAATCCGCAGTCCATCCGGTAAATGACGTTTTTGGTGTGGCATTTTCCCCGTAGCCCCGCCTCGCAGCATTGGCACTGCCTCCCTCCTCCAGGGCAGGGTGTAGGGAGGAAAGCAGAGCGTACCAGCTTGTGTCGTAGGTTAGGGCCACCTTTCCATGCCACCCGTACGTTAAGCCCACTGGTTTTCAGGATGCCCTCCGCTTTCCGACAGAGGTCATCGTCGACGAAGGGGAGAGCCAGGTACACAGGCTCGGGCTGAGAAACATTAGGTTTCTTTGTACCTCTGTCCCTTAATACCTCTCTTTTTACTCGAGTCACCAAATGGGGCGGGTATCCGTTCGTCAGGAACAGGGTTTCAATCAATTTCATGCTTCGTGCTCTGGGGAGGCCAGGAGAGGAGACTCTAAAGGCCCTTAGCATCTGTGATCTCAAAGTATTTTTCTTCGTTTTCATCGGGAGGGCTGACTCAAAATGTATGATCACTGGTGATGCGGTCGGTTTGACGTAAAGTTCGCTGGTGTAGGCCCCAGATTCTGCGATCGTCATTTTAGTGTCTAAAAATGCCAGAAACTAAAGACACTAAAAGACACTAAAATGACACTAAAATGACGATCGCAGAATCTGGGGCCTACACCAGCGAACTTTACGTCAAACCGACCGCATCACCACTGATACCGGGGTTCTGGCATTTTTAGACACTAAAATGACGATGGGAAAATGTTTAATCAGGCAGTATTAGTTTCATTGTGAATGTATTTGTACTCTGCAGCCTATGTAAGGAAATATTCTGTAATTTTATCTATTATATTTGGTAATGTATTATATAATTATGTTTTATAATACTCCTATGTAATGTTATGGAACCCTTTGGAGAAGTGCCTGTGCCTAACTGCAGCTGCTATCGATTTGAATTTCAATGTGTTTGCGCCAAAAAGGAAAATAAAGTAGAGCGAGTTGAAGAAGGCGTAAGCCGAAAGCTCCTCGGAATTATCAGGCCTTTTTCTTACGATTTTGGATATTAACTATGAGAGTACGGTTACTTTACTTGATTATATGAAAGTGGTATACATATATGTTACGGGCCAAGTGCGAAGGCTAGTCCGTTTGCGAACGGACTAGTCCATTCGCGAATGGACTAGGCCGTTTGCGAATGGCGGTCCGTTTGCAAACGGACTAGTCCGTTTGCGAATGGCCGGCCATTCGCGAATGGCCTAGGCCGTTTGCGAACGGACGGGTTTGTGGCGTTGCACTTCGCCGCCGGAAGCATGGATCCTCGGATTGGGGTACGATTCCGAATGAATGGGGGACCGCTGGTCGATGCAGGGGCGTCGCCGACGGGGGGTTGGAGGGGTCCGGACCCCCCCCCCCCCCCTCCCCCCCACACACACTTTTGGCCACGAAAATCGATCAAGAATAAAATAAAATATTTTAAAAACGATTTTGGTGCATTCTCAAAATAAAATTGTCTAAATCCGAGGAGTTTTCAGTATTTAGTGGGGATTACTTTGACTGACCGTCCGACCAGATCCCCTAGTCGATAATCCGTGGCGACGCCACTGCGTCTATGTGTTTAGTTTGTTCTCCGGAGCAGATCTGCGAGCTGGCGCAACTCTGGGTTAAGGTCTCCACACACGGTCCATTCGGGATGCGACTTTCCGCTGAACCCTGCACAACGCGGAAATTATAGCAACGTGTTGCCGCTGGCCAGGCTTCGGCTACCAATCTGGATCTGGGGAGGTCAAATATCCCCGTGACCTTCGAACAGCAGAGAGTTGCGTGGTGTGCGGAGACCATTAGTACCGTGCTCCGGGCTCCCCGCTGATGACCCGACCTGACCTTGGTCGAGTTTGTGGCGCTCGATTCATTCTGCTCAGGTGTGGTGTACCGGGACGGTGCGGCTTGTGTGTGGTGAGTGCGGTGCGGTGAGTGTTCGAAAAACTGTTGTGTTGCATTGCATTCAACAATACGCGAGTGTGCCCGGCTCATGTCAACGACTGCGGGGGACAATGCATGTTTACATGCAAGTGCCGAAAGATGTGTACTGGACGGTGTAAATGTATCAAGGCTGGAGTGACATGCATCAGTAGATGTCATAAAGGGGTGGCCTGCAGTAATAAATGTGTCGCACTGGATCAGTGTGTTCTTGAGTTGAGTTTGTTTCACTTCACCATTACATTGCAAGGCTCATGAAATTCATCGTCAGACAATGTTTCCAAGGGTTGAACGCAAGGGTGGGGTGAGGTAAAGAAGAGGCGACCTCAGCATGACTGTGTAAGCATTTTCCGGTTGAGCTACCAATACTTTGCACGCATCATTTCACACGGGACTTTGCAGTGCACATGCCAAGTTGACTTGCCAAGTTGACGTCACTTTGCTGGATATTTCGCACTTGGCCTGACTTCGCACTTGGACTGGGAGCATAAACGCCCGTCCATTCGCAAACGGCCTAGGCCAACTGCAATAACGCACATGGACTAGTCCATTCGCAAACGGCCTAGTCCAAGTGCGTTATCGCACTTGGACTAGGCCATTCGCGAATGGACTAGACTTCGCACTTGGCCCGCAACATATATCTATTTTAACCCACGAGCCGATGGGGGGGGGCATAAAGCTGCCCCCCTTTACCTACGTTTTGCGGAATATCTCCAAAACCTGATGAGCTACGAACGTGAAACTTGGCATAGCTTCAAATGAATACCTAGGCAATGTTTTAGCAAAATTTGGTGGTTGTAGCACTTAAGATGACGTCACAGTGACGTCATAAAATATTGTCGTTTTCCGATACGGACCGTTTCTGATGTCGCTGAGCATGAAACTCAACTGTAAATGAACTAGATAGCACCTGCTGTCATCCTAAAACATCTAAGTACACTTCCATCTAGTTCCTGACCAATAATCGGCCCTTTATATTCGGTCCCATATATCTGATATATCGTGAGGAAACTGAGAGTCGCAAATCTATAATTTGACTTATGACGTCACTGTGACGTCATTTCAAATGAAATCGACACCACATTTGGACACAGCCCTCGGCTAGATATTCAGGAAGATGTGTGCAACGTTTTGCTTCTCTATCTTGTCGCGTTGCGACGATATCGTAGCAGAAGTAAAGGGGGGCAACTATATGCCCCCCCCCCCCCAGCGGCCGGCGGGTGGCGCGGAGGCCCAGCGGCCGCCGGGTTAATCCAATTAGCTTTTGCTCGAAGAAGTGTCCCGTCTCCCTCTTCTACCGTATCAGATAAAATTCGTATCTCAACCTCCCTTGTTTCTCGATAACCCTTGTCTTGTGCATGTAGTGCAACATCCGTAAGATTTTATAACAATATAAATGCTCAGACGCGGGCGGGATAGGAAGCGTCCACTCCTCTGTGCACCGATGGGTACTTTCAAAAGAGACTACCTTAAATAACCTTCGTCTTTGAACTACTATTGGTATAATTGCAGCTCGTCTCTCTCTCCCTCCCTCCCTCTCTCTCTCCTCTCTCTCTCTCTCTCTCTCTCTCTCTCTCTCTCTCTCTCTCTCTCTCTCTCTCTCTCTCTCTCTCTCTCTTCGATTAATCTATCTATCGATCTATCCATCTATCTTTCGCAGGAGCCAGGCCGAACATTCAGAAAAGCAGACAGAGTCATCAAAAGTCATGGACCACGAGCAGTTCCGACAGGCTGGAAAGGAAATGATCGACTACGTCGCCGACTACCTGCAGAATATTAGGGAAAGGTGGGTGCCAACTGTTACTGCAACCAAGGGTGAGCCGTGAGCTGGCCCCTGCCTGCTCACGGCTGAGGGATCCCAACCTACGGGCCCCGGTGCAGGGAGGGCGAGGGGAGTGAAGGACAGCCCTGTCACTGGCGCCGGAAGCAAACAGGACTTCAAGGCAGTCAAGGTTCGTCATGAATGATGTCATTCATGGCATAACTGCTGGCCATTGCGACACATTTCAGTTAAAAATAATGCAGTTGAATTTTTCCCCATCGACTTATAATGGGAAGGTCAACAAATCAGTGCCGGCGGAAGCGGGGGAGAGGGAGGGGTAGCGGGGGCACGGCGCCCCCCATCTTCCAGGGTGGGGGCAAACATATCTTTTTGACCCCCCCCCCCCCCAAAAAAAAAAAAATGTTATCGACGAAGTACAGGTCTCGCGGGTTTTAGCGGTAGGTTTTGCACCTAGAAAATTTAGTGTACTTAGGGCTATATCTTCGTCGTCTTGAGCTTTTAAGTGTTGAAGATGCGATTGACTTGTTGGTTCACAAGCCGGCCATGATCGTGTAAAATGGCTTCATCGTAGATTGATCGGTTTCTGAGATACATATAACCGGAAATGTAAAAGTGCAAAACCTACCGCTTAATCTCGCGAGAGCCGTACCACAATGCTTCCATACTACGTCATGAACATATGCCAGTTTGGCTTAGTACCTTTTTATTAAGTTGATAGAGCGAGTAATTTGGATTGATATTGTTGTCAATGTCGTCGTACATATTTTGTAGAGGTCTGCACCGGCCGGCTGCAGCCTCGGCTGGCTGCAGCCCCACGGCTGTGGGTGGGGGGCGGCTGCAAATATCTCCAAGAACACGGCTACGGCTGTGGCCACGGCTGTGAGACTTCAAGCTGAATCTTAATTCTTGAATACTCAAATATAAAATTCAAAATCCTTAATCTTACATTCTGATAAGCAGTCTAGCCTGTAAAAATCATGCAAAGGATGCCCAGCAACATTGAAAGTGGTGAAGCCTTTGAAAATCTGTAATGGTTTTATCATTTGCCATCATAAGTAGAGGTTTGCACTCTGGTACAGAATACTAATCATAGGTACCAATTGTTCCTTCATCATCATGAGCTTGACAGCTTCAGAAAATGCACCATGTTGCATTGTCACATCCCTTTCAAATCAATCTTACCTGGTCATTAGGAGAGCACCTTACAGCTATTGAAAACAAGTGTTCAATAATTATTTCAGGTAATAAAAAAAAGAAATAACACCTAGGTAAAGGCAGGTAAAGGCTTCATGAAATATTATCTAAAATAACTCTTAGATGTTTTTTTCTGGATTTTCGGCAAGTCCAATTAAGTACAGCCCTCTGCAGACTGCGTGGTAGGTATTCTTTTTTTCGACAAAACCAGAATAACTCAAAGACTAAGTTATCGGTCGGTCGGATCTCATTGCATAAAGATGCGCCATGCTCCACTCCTTCGATTGGTTCTATCACTGAACGAATTATACAACTAGTGTAGCAACAAAATGCAAAAGTTTGTTTTGGGGGCAGATAAAAACTTTCTTGTATTGTTGCCAAACTAGCTGGAAAATGTATACCAAAATAAGCCCAATCTAAGGTGCGGAGTCTCGCACGTCTTACTGTTACGATTTCCGAGTGGCCAATAGCATAGTATTCGCGTTATTCCCGGTTTTGTCGAAAAAAGAATACCTACCACGCAGTTTGCAGAGGGCTGTACCTAATACAAAACTGGCGCTTTTATGTTCCAACTAGTGTGTGGGTGCATGCTAACAGAAAATGCTGAACAACGAAGCCAATGGAATTAGATTAAAAGGGAGCGTACCTAAACCTTACTTGCGGTTCATTCACATGGTGCTGCTTCAAGCCTGGCATAGGCACACTGCAGAAAATATGCAAGGTGGGAAAGAAGCAAGAGTTTTGACTATCAGGACAATCACTATTTGACAGTTGGGGTCGATGACATGACAGATCGACCAAGCCATAACACCCTACCTCTCAGATTTTGATGAAATTGCGTCTAGGGGGTTATCTGTACCGTAGATTCTTAATCTCCTATTTTCAGCGTTATACTACAAACGGTTTACGAGTTATAGCCAGTGGCATTTTCAAAACGCTCAGAGTAACCCTCTTTTTGTCTCATATTATATAAAAATATGGCCAGTAACTTACCTTATTATGATATCATTGGAATCCTCATTGACTGCAGAAAGTTAATCAATGAAAATATTTTGAAAATTTTCAAAACCTCAACATTTTCTTAAATAACACATTTCTGATTTTTGATTTTCAAAATGTGGCCATTCAATTTTTGACAAAAAAATTGCCAAAAGATGCCTCTGGATATGGAAATTCAATGTAAAGAAATTTGGAGAGGTGTTTTGCCTTTGTTTTTTATATATTTTTTTATTTACGGCAATGTTTAGGGTAAAAGGGAGCATTTGGTGACACGTTCCGAAACCGATCATTCTCCTACCCTCATACCCTCGAAAAAGTTTATGAAAATTGGAAATAAAAGCCTGGCACTCACACTCACAAAACCAGCATGCAATTATTCAATGATCTTTGCTTCACTTTCGTTTCAATTTCGCTTCACTTTCGGGCATTGTTCAATGTCAGTCAAGAGGGTTAATGTAACGAACTGGTCTGTACTGTATTGGCTCACCCAGCACACTGCCGGCCCGCGGCCCCAACCGGCCCGCGGCCGACCCCACCGTGCCCCAGGGCAGACGCGGCGGCAGTACACATACGCGCTGACGTCACGGCAAGCCGTGACCTCACCGATCCGTGACAGAGCAATAGAGCATCAAGGCAGAGCAATACACTACACTCCCCCTTCCTTAACTAAGCACTTCCTCGTAACACTAGTACAGGTAACAGGCCATCACATCCCACTCCCTGCCTGATATAGCTCAGGCGCTCTCCGCGTTCGAGTCGAGCGCCGCAATGTCCGCTCCACAGATGTCGCCACCTCTGGATGAGGCCCAGTCCCATCCGGTGAGCTCGGCGCCGGACACGTTCCCGGAGCGGACGACGGCCAAACGTCCGCCGACGGCTGCGGCGGCCCACCCGGCTCGAGTGACGACGGGGCGGAGACGGGCGACGGCCGATGCGACGATTGAGCCGGTACCCCCGGCCGCGTCGGCGACGACCGAACATTGGGCGGAGGCGGCTGCTGAGTGAGCGCCCCCAGCCGCGACTGCGACGGCTGCACGGCGGACGACAGCGGTGCCGGCGGTGCAGTCCCCTGAGACGCTCCACCTGGTCGCCCGGGCTGGACAGCAGCATCGGACGACGGCCGCCGGACCTCCCGTGACGCCGCCTCCGGCGGACTGATCGGCTCAGCTGACTGCCGCCTCCTCAGCTGGTCACCATGCCGTCTCCAAAGCCTGCCATCAAACAAACGGACCACGTAAGACACCGGGCCATCGGTGCCGACGATCACCCCAGGCAGCCACTGCAACCCAACAGCGTAATTTCTCGCGAACACCGCATCGCCAACCAGCATTTGCCGACACTGAGCCGTTCGGTCAAAGTACGCCCTCTGTCTGTTTTGCTGCTGAAGGACTGTCTTGCCTATATCTGGAAACAACAGATCTAGCCGTGTGCGAAGCCTGCGACCCATCATTAGTTCAGCGGGTGTCACCATGGTTGTTGAATGAGGTGTTGTGCGCTGTCTCATCAGCCATCTGGTGAGTCTCAGGTCCCACGGTCCGCCGCTATCAGACTCCCTTTGTAAGGCCAACTTTACCTCCTTGACGGCTCGCTCTGCGAGACCATTACCCTGGCTGTGACGGGGCTCTATCGTGCGATGCACAATGCCGTTCTCTCTCAAGAATTGTTGAAATTCAGTCGAGGTAAAAGTTGTCCCATTATCAGTGCAGATCATATCCGGCAATCCCCATCTCGCAAACATAGCCCGGAATTTATTGATCGTCGGAGCCGATGCGGTACTGTACATGACTTCTGCCTCTATCCACTTAGAATGACTGTCAACAACTACCAACACATACTTCCCCTTCTCTGGCTCGGCAAAATCCGCGTGAATGCGGGACCAGGGTTTCGTGGGCCACGGCCACGGATGTAACTCACGATGCGGTGGCGAGTCACGACTCTCCTGGCACGCAGTGCACCCTCCGACGACTGCTTCCACATCCTGGTCGATGCCGGGCCACCAGACGACGCTCCTCGCCAACGCCTTCATCTTGCCGATGCCCGGATGTCCGACGTGCAGCTCCATCAGCACAGCTCTGCGGGCAGCATCTGGAATCACAACACGATGACCCCATAGCAGAACCCCAGCCGTCAGTGACAGTTCATCCTTTTTAGGGGCGAAACATTTGAGCGATTCCGGAATTTGAGTGGGCCACCCTCCAAACTGTACAAGGCGCACAACGTTCGACAACACTGGGTCCATGCTGGTCAGCTTGGCCACCTGCTTCGCATCTAACCAGCTTTGCGCTGTCAACAGCTCCAACTCTTCAGGCTGAGGACCTGCTTCCCCGACCTCAGCACCAGACCAGTCCTCATCTGCATGAAGAACCAGTTCCTCCGGCTGCGCTCCTTCAATGTAAGGACTGGGCAGCCTGCTCAGCGCATCGGCATTGGCAATCTCATGTGTTCGCTTGAACTGAATGCGGTAATTATAACCAGACAGTTTGAGAGCCCAGCGCCTGATTCGCCCAGACGCCATCTCAGGCAACGCCTCATGTTGCCCAAACAACTTGAAGAGCGGCTTATGATCCGTGACGAGGAAGAATGGTCGAGTTACCCCGCACAGATACTGGTGGAACTTGGTTACTCCCATGATGACCGCCAAGCCCTCACGCTCAATTTGACTGTACTTTTGCTCTGCTACAGACAATCTTCTAGAAGCGAAAGCGATCGGCGCCTCTACACCATTATCATCGAGATGAGCCAATACTGCAGCGACCCCCCTGCATGATGCATCGGTGGTAAGAATCAGCTGTTTTTCTGGATCAAAATGAACCAACAAAGTGTGGGAGGCCAGAGCGTCTTTCACAGAATTAAAACTCTTCTCTTGTGAAGGCCCCCATGTCCAGCTGGCCCCTGCCCTTAAAAGGTCATACAGGGGAGACAAGACCTCGGCACGCTGCGCTATAAATCGCGAGTAGTATGTAACAAGTCCGAGGAAAGACTTGAGCTCAGTCACATTAGCGGGGCGGGGGGCATCCACGATAGCCTTCACCTTGTCTGACGTCGGCCGAATTCCATCCCTGCTCATGTGATGTCCCAGATACTCCACGCTGTCTTGAAAGAACGCGCACTTGGTCTCCCGAACTCGGAGTCCAGCAGCCTCCAGTCGACTGAAGATCGATCCCAGCACCTTCCAGTGTTCTTCCTCTGACTGGCTGCCAACGAGCACATCATCAAGGTAAACAACCACATCTGGAATGCCGCTCAAAACGCGCTCTATCTCCCTCTGGAAAACTCCTACAGCACAGTTTACTCCAAATGGCATCCTGGTGTACTGCAGGAGCCCACGAGAAGTGTTGATGGTGAGAATATCTCGTGAGTCTTTATGTATCTTAACCTGATTGTAGGCCTGTGCTAAATCAATTTTGGACCAGACTTTCTTCGATCCTAGCTTTGCAAACATTTCTTCTGTCTTGGGCAGTGGGTACTTGTCAAGTTTCACAGCTCTGATTGCAGTCAGTTTAAAATTCGCACAGACACGAATGCGCCCGTCAGGCCGCACGACTGGTACAATGGGCGCTGCCCAGCGGCTGTTCCTAACTGGGACCAGCACACCACTAGCAATGTCTGCGTCTAACTGATCCTCAACCTTCTGTTTGTACGCAAATGGTAAAGAGCGAGCTTTGAAAAACTTAGGAACAACACTTCTGTCGATATCAAGCCTGACTTCTACACCTTTCAATGTGCCCAGCCCCTCACGAAACACAGAGCCATACTTGCTTTTGAGTCGTTGTAGATGTGAAGTCCTCAGCGCGTGCACGTCAGACCAGCAGATCTGCATCTTCTCCAGCCAGTTCCGACCCAGGAGGCATGGAGCCGATCCATGGACGACCACGATCGGGAGTTGCCTGTACAGCCGACCATTGTACGTCACGTCAGTGCTGAATTCACCCAGTACAGGTATTGTGTTGCCAGTAAACGATCTCAGTTTAACGGGGCTGCTATTCAACTTCGGACGCTTTTGAAAACGACGGTATGTGTGTTCATCAATCAATGTGACACCAGCGCCCGTGTCTAACTCCATGTTAACCTGCGTGCTACAAATCTGAACAGGGCACCAAATAGGTGGCGAGCTCACCTGGGCGCGGTTAACCACATACACCGGCTGACTCGGAGTCGACAAGTTCTCCAGCAGGACCGGCTCCACCGCGCCGCTGTCATCATCAGGCTGCTCTCCAGACACTCCCTGGTGGTGAACTGAAGACGCCTGCTGCCGGCAGCATCTTGAAATGTGACCCTGACGACCACATGCGTAACATTTGGCGGACTCGAATCGGCATTTCCCACCATGCCGATTGCCACAGCGCCAGCACGATCGGCCGTACTTAGCTGAGTCAGCTGATGTCGGCGCGTCCCTGTGCCCGGGCTGGGCGCTTCTGATGGTCCGCTGCGGCCCACTGGCCACCCGGTTAGCAGCCGCGGCCACCTCTCCGCTGAAACAAGAAGCCTCTCTCTGCACCGCCTCCATGGCCTTGGCCTGCTGCAGGGCAGATTCCAATGTCAGATCAGACTTGCTCAACAGCTCTCGCTGACACTTGACATCTTTCATTCCACATACGAGCTGGTCCCTGAGCGCCGTATTCAAATAGTCACCGAAATTACATTCCTTGGCCATTTTCCTCAGCGTAGCAATATACTCACTCACAGACTCATTCGACTGTTGTGTCCGCTTGAAAAATTTGAACCGTTCCGCTATTTCCACGCTTTGAGGCTTGAAATGCCGAAGTAAACTGTCTCTTATTTCGGCCAAGGACGCATCAGAAAGCCCCACTGGGTGTAACAGATCCTTAATTATATCAAACGTGCCATGGCCTACAGTTGACAGAAAAACAGCCTTCTTCCGTTCCGCTGCTGAGATCCCATTTGCCTCACAGTAAAAATCAAACCGTTCCAAGTAACTTCCGATTCCTTCATTGCCCGGATCAAACTCACCCAACGCTCCATGTACCATACTTGTGCCAAATGTTCCACCTCCTCTTCAAGTCCAGTGATTCTCGTCGCCACTGTAACGAACTGGTCTGTACTGTATTGGCTCACCCAGCACACTGCCGGCCCGCGGCCCCAACCGGCCCGCGGCCGACCCCACCGTGCCCCAGGGCAGACGCGGCGGCAGTACACATACGCGCTGACGTCACGGCAAGCCGTGACCTCACCGATCCGTGACAGAGCAATAGAGCATCAAGGCAGAGCAATACACTACAGTTAATCTAAAGCTTAACACTGATGTGTACTGCCTTGCATGTAATACTAACACGCTTCTATGTAGCTTGCACTGATAAAAGGCTAGGAGTTATCAAAAATGCAAGTCGGACGTTGTGGCCGGACATGCGAATAATCCGTTCATAACAGCCGAGGCTGTGCTAGGGTCAAATGAGGAGAAGGCTCAACCTAGTAATCGCATGAAGTTCGACAAGTACCTACGTCCTTGCCTACGTCCATGTAATAATGGGCTTTCAGTGATTTTGCTTACTGAATCTGCCACAAACAAAATATATGCAGACAAAAGTGCGGCATTTGGAAGTAATTGATTGCAACTTCCAGGGGCGTCACCAGGTCAGAGAGGGTGGAGGTAACAAAATTACAAGTACCTACGTGAAACTGGCCGAGAGTGCTGGAACTGGAAGCATCGCTAACGTTTTGGATTAAGGGTTGCTGCTGCCTGCTGGGTGGGATGGTTACTGAAGTTGCCAAAATGTGATATCTTTTGAAGGGGTAAGCTAGAATCAACAATACCAGGTCATTTAGTTTGCCGATGTTTTTTTGTTTTGTTTGGGGTGTGGTAGCATGCCGGTATCCCATAAAAACTTTGTGGTGCCGGTAACCAGTTTGGGGGAAATGTTGCAACTCTTATCATTAACATCCCAATAAAGTTCATTTTAACTAGGCAAAATGGAATGCTTTCTCTTTTTTGAAAATGGTTTCACTGACAGGGTGACCGAAAATGTCCGATTGGGGGGGGGGGGGGCGTGACCAACCGACTACCTAATCGGCCAGCACATCTTTTCGGTAACCGAATTTTTCGGTAACCGATTGACACTACTAGTCTTACATATGGGTGGTGTCTGTGTTACAGACGGGTGGTGTTTGTGTTACAAACGGTGACTCTGTGTTACCCATGGGTGGTGTCTGTGGTTTAGACGGTGGCTCCCTGTGTTACGGACGGTGACTCCCTGTGTTACAGCCGGCGACTCTCTGTGTTAGAGACGGGTGGTGTCTGTGTTACAGTGACTCGCTGTGTTACAGACGGGTGGTGTCTGTGTTACAGACGGGTGGCTCTCTGTGTTACAGACGGGTGGTGTCTGTGTTACAGACGGGTGGTGTCTGTGTTACAGACGGGTGGTGTCTGTGTTACAGACGGGTGGTGTCTGTGTTACAGACGGGTGGCTCTCTGTGTTACAGACGGGTGGCTCTCTGTGTTACAGACGGGTGGTGTCTGTGTTACAGACGGGTGGTGTCTGTGTTACAGACAGGTGGTGTCTTTGTAACAGGCGGTGACTCTCTGTGTTACAGACGGGTGTTGTCTGTGTTACAGTGACTCGCTGTGTTACAGACGGGTGGTGTCTGTGTTACAGACGGGTGGCTCTCTGTGTTACAGACGGGTGGTGTCTGTGTTACAGACGGGTGGTGTCTGTGTTACAGACGGGTGGCTCTCTGTGTTACAGACGGGTGGCTCTCTGTGTTACAGACGGGTGGTGTCTGTGTTACAGACGGGTGGTGTCTTTGTAACAGGCGGTGACTCTCTGTGTTACAGACGGGTGTTGTCTGTGTTACAGTGACTCGCTGTGTTACAGACGGGTGGTGTCTGTGTTACAGACGGGTGGTGTCTGTGTTACAGACGGGTGGTGTCTGTGTTACAGTGACTCGCTGTGTTACAGACGGGTGGCTCTCTGTGTTACAGACGGGTGGTGTCTGTGTTACAGACGGGTGGTGTCTGTGTTACAGACGGGTGGTGTCTGTGTTACAGACGGGTGGCTCTCTGTGTTACAGACGGGTGGCTCTCTGTGTTACAGACGGGTGGTGTCTGTGTTACAGACGGGTGGCTCTCTGTGTTACAGACGGGTGGCTCTCTGTGTTACAGACGGGTGGTGTCTGTGTTACAGACGGGTGGTGTCTGTGTTACAGACGGTGACTCTCTGTGTTACAGACGGGTGGTGTCTGTGTTACAGTGACTCGCTGTGTTACAGACGGGTGGTGTCTGTGTTACAGACGGGTGGTGTCTGTGTTACAGACGGGTGGTGTCTGTGTTACAGACGGGTGCTGCCCACGGTACAGCCGGGCTACCTGCGCGCCCTGATCCCTGACCAGGCTCCCGAAGAGGGCGAGAGCTGGCGGGAAGTCATGGACGACGTGGAGCGGGTCATCATGCCCGGTGTGACGCACTGGCACTCGCCCCAGTTTCACGCCTACTTCCCCACGGGCAACTCGTACCCAGCCATCTGCGCCGACATTCTCAGCGACGCCATCGGCTGCATCGGCTTCACATGGGTGAGAGCGGTGCCCTCCACACACACCACAGCTCACAGCTTCACATGGGTGAGAGCGGTGCCCACCACACACACCAGAGCTCACAGTTTCAGTTGGGTGAGAGCGGTGCCCACACACACACACTTCAGCTTACAGCCACTATGAATGATATACCGGGTGATTCATAGCCGTGTGACCGAAAATAAATGAAACTACAGGAAATGGTTTCGTGTTACATACGGTTGCCAAGTACCATATTAAACAGCCAAATCTGAAGTTTTCATCCATGTATAGCATCAGTCACATGCACTTTTCCTTTGACTCTCACACTTCTTTTAGACAAGATGCTCAAAATGACCTCCTCGGCGACGGATGCGCTCCAGCACCAGAGCCTAAAGTTGGCGATGGCGCGGACGCACCACATTCCTAAGGAAATGGAACCAAAGCAGCTTCCAATGGCATCCTTCAGCCGCAGAATATCCTGGGGACTCTCCTCATGGACCTCGGACTTTGCATAGCCCCAGAGGAAGAATGCAGTACGACGTTGAGCTCCGGGGGTGTGGCGCCCACAAATCACCTTTCCGGTTTCCGGGGTTCGCTTACCAATTTTATTTTCTGTCGTGTTTATCATTGAACCATGCCCTCTGTTTTGAGTTTATTAACGGTTCTTTGAATTGTTATCTTCTTTGGAGTTTCCCTCGGGTGCAAGCCCTCAGACGTGCAGAAACATCTTTGTGTTTGCTTGACGGACTGCGTTAAATTGCACAAATTACGCATTTTTACTTTTTGCTGCACTGTGTACATCATGAGCGATACACATAGACCAGAGGCCTGTTTCACTAAAAACTTGTAATTACAAGTGTTTGTAGTTTACAATTCATCAAGGCCCTATATAGAAGGTATGCTCATTAGGCCAAAGCAGCGATTTCCGTGACGTCACAGGTACGAAGCGTCGGACGGCTGTAATGCAATTCTATGGAAAATGACCCAACTTTAGGACTCTCCCACATAGCTGCCAGACTCGACACTAAGGTAAAAATCATATCATCTTAAAGCTCAAATCAAGACAAACAAGAAACCTATCTGACGTTTTTACGTATTACCAACGGCTTAGACACTATTCAAGTATATTCAGAGCTCTGCATTAACTCACTTTTTTTTCTGCCGTCAATGCCACTACAAATGCCTATAGTCGGCGCACGTGCGCTTGTCGAGCGGGGACCACCAGTCGGGCGATTCGGAGCTGCCGCCCAATCAGAACGCCGCAATGCCGTGACGTCATTGGTCGCACACGACACGTTACGGAGATAGGGATGAGACAGCCCTGACAATTCATAAGTATTTTTACCAACTACGTAAAAACCGATTTCACTAAGCTTCATCGCCAGTGGCACCTCCGATCAGAAAATGTTTGCAAATAAACTTGTAAACAGTAAAAGAACTATAGCATGTTAAAGATTTTGCTTCTTTTTATCAAATTTTGTCTAGTATTCATGTCAAAAGCTGCCTTATTAAATTATAAATAATGATGCTGTTGGAAAAAGATATAAATGATAGTTCACATTATCCTATTATTGAAAGAAAATAACACGCAAAACATTACAGAAGACTGTTGAATGCAATTATGGCGCGCGAATGACAAAACATGACAATATTTTATACCAATTATTTTGTTTCTTAGGGTGTGTGCTAAGTAAAAATAGAGCATGAAACGACTCAACAAAGCATAGTTGTTCTATATATATGACTGCTTTGCATTAGTGCACAAAAAGTATCAAAATTCCTAGCTGAGCAGCATTTGTCAAACACTTTATTAGTTCATGTGTTTATTCAATGCAGGGAGGCAAGCAACTGATCGACCCCCACCAAACACGATTTGGCAGCACTGTAAAGACGTCTGCTGGGCGTGAAGTTTTCCCTTCACCATAGGGTTTACACACAAACTGGTCAAAGTTTGAGCCAGGATATACTAGTCTAAAAATGCAAAAAACGAACAAATTTTGGCATCAATAGATTCAGCATTTCATCGTGTGCCTCAAACCGTCCATCATTTGGCCTCAAAGGAGGTAAAAATTGTTCAAAATCGAAGTTGAAAAGATGCTTTCTGAGCACATAATTTGGTAGCAATCACGTGACCTGCTATAAGCAGCTTATCGATAATTTACAAACATAATTATTAATATGCTGCTTTAAACAACATTAATCATTCATTTTGAGCTTTCAGTACTTTACATAAGGTCAAAACATCGCAAAACACAAAAGTTAATACAATAGTCACGTGGGTGTCAGGAAATGTCACAGGTGCGTCAAATTTGTGACTGGGGCTTTACTTTCAAACATCGGATCTACCTGTTTCTTATAGGTATCTTGCAACTGATTCAATTTAGCACAAAACCCTCTCAGGTCCAAAACAAGCGGTTACCATGGTTACGGTCACATCTCGGTGTGACCCTTTCGATGAGTGAACCTCAGCTATGCCCCCTCCCAGAGGACGGTAGTCCGTGTCATGTTGCGGTAGCTACCAATGAGTACATGAATCGAAATGCAGCTATATGTCATGAAACAACGGGGGTCATAATGCGATGCTGACTACAAAATGCGAGTACAGACAGCAGGCATGTTCATGCGTACACCCCCTAATGAGGGCTAGATCATACAACACTAACGCGAACCCGCTGCCCTGGCCACTCGTGCCGAACGCCTCAGCGGAGGGGTGGTCATCTGTGACGATGGTGAGGGCGTCGGTGGAGCGCGCTCTCGCAGAGCAGGTCTGTCGGATGCCTCCAGAGCCACTGGCGAGGTCATCCGCTGCGGTGTTGTCTGTGGCGATGGAGCTGTGCGGGATGCCGGCAGGGGGGCAGGGGAGACTGGAGTGAACGCTCGAAGGAATTTGCGGTTGCGGAGAGTGAGCTGTCGTGAGCCGTCCAGCATGACTTTGTACTGACGGAATGGCAGCACTTCCACAATAACTCCGCGGCGGTCCCACTGCACACAGCCGCTATCTGGGTTCAGAAGTGGCCAATACCCTAATTTTCGACAAATTTTAAAGCGTGATTTTCTCACATTTTCTGGTCGTAAATTGATCAGACTGTATAAAATATCATCCAGAAAAAATATTACTCATTCTGGCACAGATTGGCGGGCTCCCAAAGTACGGGGACCCGCAGTTGCTACTGTACAGCGACCCTGAGTAAATTGTCCCAGCACACTCACAGGGAACAAAAATAAGCTGTCAGAGGGCACGCACATAAAACCTCAGCTGCTCTTGTACAGGGACCGGCAGACGATATCAATGTTATCGGTTGTTACTGGACAGGAGAGACGGCTAGAGTTGGGGTTCGTGTACAGTAGCAACTGCGGGTCCCCGTACACCGTTTTGTTTTGCTCCGTGAGACCGAACTTGTGCTGCGATTTTCATGTAAATGTTGACGAGTCTCCTGTCATATTCTTTGCTTGAACATGCGTAAGTAAGATATCAGCTGAAAGGGGAAAATGTGCGGAATCCATTGGTAACAAAAGTGCATCTAAAAAACTTCCCACTCAGTTATTGTAAGCTAATTGTTGCACACTTGCACAAAGCAGAAGGGCTTGAGGATTTCAATATTTACATAGGCCTACCAAAAAACGCACAGCGTGCTTCACATCGAGACAACGTCCATAACATATACCGTACAATTGTTATTCATTTGCTGAAAAAATTAGGTCGGCATCACACTGCCGGCAAAAGTTATTGCAGTTTTAGTGACGCTAGGTCGCCGCCCGGCCGACCCCGGTCAGGTCGGCCGGGCGGCGGCCGTGCAGCTGACGTCCGTACGGTTCGGCAGCTGACCAATCAGCTGCGAGAGAGGAGCGCGGTCCGTCTAATCGCTCCCGGCAGTTGCTTGTGCTGAGGGGTGCTCGACGCTCGTGTCGATTGCATTTGTTGGTTGTCGATTGTCGATTGACTTGTGGGTATACTTTCTGGTGACCAATAAATGTACGTCGTCTTAACTGAATGTAGTCTGATCAAATTCAATAAAGCAAAAAGACATCCAGCCAACAGAACATCGTAAGAATGTCCGATATGGTTGATAACATTCAGAGTTTTGGAGAGCAGCCATCGACCAGAATGAACCTTATTGGCTTTTGTATGTAACATTTGCATTGCTTTTGGAAAGTTTCAGTCAGATATCTTCAGAAATGGCAATGTTATCGGCTTTTGCATTTTACCGTAGTCGGTTAATCACAATTTTCGATATTTCAAAGGCAATTTCAGTACATTCTTGACATCGAAAACCAAAACGAATAGCATCATCGTGTTCCAGAGCTCAAATTGCATCCGATGCACATCTTTTTTTGTTGAGAATGTTCAACTTCAAAATTTGGCCTTTCTGACCTCGCCGTGACCTGACCTTCATTTGTCGAATGGAAATAGTTTCGAATCGGACGACCCAGATGACATCATTTTTAGATGCTTTTGCCGAAATGGACCATTAAAGATGACCTTAAAAATGTATGCATTTCCTTCCATGACCTCTTCCATGACCTTTTGTGACCCATGACCTTTCCATGACCTTTTGTGACAAAGTTAGGGTTCGTTTGTCAGCTATTCCTATCAGAAGCCGTTTGAACTTTTAGTATTGAACGAGTAGTTTCGAAGACAGCAGGGAAGCTATGCAGAATCCCCTCCCGAGTCACCCACGTTATGGGATATACCCGTCATCCGCGGATTACAAGCAAAAAAAAAAAATTTACGGCAATGATGTATCAGCATGGATGCTCATACGTTCCCATATGTGACCTTACGGTTGACTTCACATACAATAAAAATTGCTTGGCAAAATGTCAACTGGTTAACGAGTTATCGCATTTTGGCCACTTCCGAACTCAAATAGCGGCTGTGTGCACTGGAGCGGATGGTTTCCTGTTTGGTTTTGTACCAGCACTGTTTGGCCTGCGCGCAGAGGAGGTAGGTCCGAAGTGCGCACCTGAAGGCGCTCATGATCAGCCGTGGCTCGACGGCACAGTGCCTTTTCTCTCCA